AGGGCCAACAACTATTAATATTTGGTCAGTGGCTTTCTCTGTGTATATAGATAATACACAGATTAAGTACATATTTATGCTTGTTCAGCCACCTGAAGGTATCATAATACTTTACTCTGAAACACTTCTGTGTATACTTCCAATGAGTGAGAATATCTTCTTATCCAACCATAATACAAAAGTCATAAAAAAGAAAAAAGATAATAACTGCAGTATCATCTAATAGTTTATAATCTATTTCCCCCAAATAAACCATGCATCTAAAAACAATTGAAATGCAATAAAGGCTCACTTATGCCTTGCGATTTTTCATCTAAGAGAAGTGAGTTGGTTTTCTTTATAACCTAAATTAGTATTTTTACTATTTGGGGGAATGCTGGCTGTTCATGTACACATATACTCACTGGCAGAGAAGCAGAAGTAGGTGGGCCTTGGGAAAGGAGCTGCATGGCCACAGGCAGGGACCCTGTCTCCCAGCCTGCTATGCTTTAAGCTAAGGTGTCAGTAAGTCCCGTGCTGACCAGCTTCATGACTTTGCCCCGAGAAAGCAGAGCAATAGCTGAAGTCTTTTCTCAACAGGTGTCCCAGTTCCAGCAGCATCTGTCTCCACTCCCTCTCCCTGGTTTTTCTCAGGGTGAAAAGAGTACTCCCATGACTTGCACTAAAGAGGGGATCTGCAAAGCAACACTTACCGCCTCTCAGGGCTAATGACACTTGTCGTTAACGTGTCTGCTCCTGTGGAATTCCCTGGTGTTCTGACTGGAGCTTCTCTCAGGTACTGGTTTCTAGCTATTAGAAAAACAGCAAACATAAACCATGTGTAGCTGACAACACCTCAATCAATAATACACATATCACTTCCTTCATTGACTCCAAAATATTGGTACCACTTGGCCAGTAAAATTGCTGGCTCTAATTATTTAAGGAAAATGTTTCCAGATGACCTATATTAAGAGCAAAATCACCTTGTGCCATAAAGCATACTGTAATCCTAGTGCTCAGGAGGTGGAGGCAGGATGCTCCAGAGTTCAAGGCCAGCCTCTGTTACATAGCAAGCTTGAAGCCAGCCTAAGGTGTATAACATACCTTTAATCCCAGCACTCGGGAGGCAGAGGCAGGCAGATCTCCTTGAGTTCAAGCCCAGCCTGGTCTATAGAGCAAGTTCCAAGACAGTTTCCAAAGCTACAGAGAACTCTTGCCTGGAAAAAAAAAAACCCAAAAAACCAAAAATAGCTATTTTTTAAAAAGGCCTCATCTTTGTATTCTAAGAGAATGTGCTGCATATATAGTTTCCCTATGACAACTACCTGGACTACAGAGGAGTCATACACAGAATTGCCATTCATGTCAAAAAAACAAAAAAAAAAGTAAGATGCACTAGTGGAAGCTACCAATTACATTTTCAGAACTTGCTCTCTGTGGAGGCTCGTCTGTTTAAAGAAAAACAGCCAATGTTAAGCTTTTCACTAACACAGTCTTGCAGGGACAAGATGTGTAAACTACATTTCAAACTATCCACATTTCAAAACCTTTAGAATCACATTAAAAGCATCAACAATAAAAAAAATATAATAATAAAAGACTATGTTGTCAAAGGGTTTCCTGTTGTTGTTCTGTTTGTTTCTTTTTAGAACTTGAACAAGGCTAGGGAAACAGCTGAGTTGGTAAAGTATCGACTACAGAATCGTGGAGACTTGAGTTTAGGACCATAGCACCCTGGTGGAAAGAAGAACCAGCCTGGTATGGATTGGCATGAACTTCTCATTCCAGTCTGGGGAGGCAGAGAAAATGGAGCTGAGGTTTGCTGGACAGCCCCCTTTCCCTAATTGGTAAGTCTAGGGTCCCACTAGGCAAGTGGCTTCTGAAGAATAATAGTCAACACTGACCTCTGGTCTACACACGAGTTCTCATTCTCTGTCTGTCTGTCTGACTGACTGACTGACTGACTGACTGACTGTCTCCACCAGGTAAGGCACCAAGAACATCTACAATCCCAGCAGGATTGAAAGGTGGATGTGGGAGGATGAAGAATTCAAGATCATTTGGCTGGAGTAATGGCTCACTGGTTGAGAGCACTGACTGCTCTACCAGAGGACCTGGGTACAATTCTCAGCACCCACATGGCAGCACACACCTGTCTATAACTCTAAGACCTGACACTCACACATAGATGCAGGCAAAACACCAATGCACATAAAATAAAAATAAATCATTACAAAAAAAAGAACTTGAGGTTAGCCAGGCAGTGGTGGAGCATGCCTTTAATCCCAGACAGAGGCAGGTGGATCTCTTGTGAGTTCAAGGCCAGCCTGATTCACAGAGATAATTCCAGGACTGCCAGGGCAACACAGAGAAACCCTGTCTCAACAAATAAAAGTAATTGAAGGTCATTTCCCTACATAGTCACACACTGAGTCTAGGATTGGCCTGGGCTACATGAGACACAAGTCTCAAAAAAGCAAAGATACATAAATTAAAAGACTTATATTAAGAGGAATAACAAAAGAGAGACTTTTGCTGGAGAAAGATGAAATGGCAATCACTTTTGAGATCCTACTATGTGTAGCTGTTCTTAATGAACCTGAAGTATTGAGACAAGTTCAGACAGGCACACACAAATACACCACATTATACCAAACTGGCCTCACATTTGGAGGTGAACTGTGAGTTGATTAAATAAAAAAATTCCACTAACACAACAAAGGAACTCTAACAAATATTTAAGAAAAATCTTCAACAATGCCTTCATGTGTAATATGATGATCTCTCGAAGTGGCTGTGGAACCTACTAGCAAATTAGAAGTACAATGGGAGAAGGGGCTTAACAAGAGTTCACATGGCAACCCTCAGAGTTGGGGTTGATTAGGATCTCAATACAGCACAAGGTAAGGACACATTGCTGGGAGAAAGCTGATACATTAGCTACTGTTGCTAAAAGTGACACAGACAATAGATCACAATAAATACAATTGCTTCCAGCTCTAGTTTATTTCTTCACTCAGTAAATATGACCCTACTACAAAGCACAAAAGTCTGCAGTAAACATGACAGAGCTCTGCTGCATACATGGATGGCTTGTCTTAAGGGAACCTGATTCTAGCAAACAGGCCTTACACTGCCACAGTAGAATGTGTCCAGATGAAACAGCAAACAAAACACCATGTGTCCTGGGGGCACAGTTTAAATAACTGTGGAGATTATACTGAAGAGGAAGCCCAGGGAAAGAAAAATCATGAGAAGGCTGGAGGGAGTCACAGGCCCCCTGCCTTCTGGGCTCTGGCAGTAATACTGCAGGACAAGATAGGACAGGACAGGACCAGGTTACCACATCAGAGAACCAGCTGGTAAGAAGAGCTTAGAAGAAATTCCAGCCTCAGTCATTCTCAGTGGGAGTGAAAAGGTTAAAGCTGGACATATGAGGTTGGCATAGCATTCTACTCCTCTAAGTCTCAGGTTCCCACACTGTGGAAACTTGACAAACTCTAAGTTGCTATCCTATGGTGCTATGATTCAATCACACAGATGTGAGGGGGGCTGAGAGATGACTGAGGAGCTCAGTGTGCTTGCTGTACTTCCAGAGAGGACCAGAGAGCACCTACATCAGGTGGCTGACAAATACCTGTAACTCCAGCTCCAGGGGACCCAACCATCCTCTTTAAGCCTCCTCAGGTACCCCACACACACACACACACACACACAGCGCATATACACATACAAACATAAATATATTTTTTAAAAGCTTTAAATGTGGAAAACAAAGTAACAGCACCATCTGAGAATTACAAGTTAAGCCCTGTCTCCATTTCCACCAATGCCAGTACATATGATAAAGGCAGCTGAACCGCCCAGGAAGCAGAGAACAATGCTAGTTCCTTCCATAAGTCTGTGTGTTCATTTACAACAGTAAACATTACATTTGAACCTTTAAATTTCTGCTTAGTTCTCTTAGCAGATACCTTTAGCAGGCGGTGTGCAATGGTTTGGCGATGTGAGTATTTCTCTCTTATACTGGTTCTTACTAACTGGGGTCCTTGGCTCAGGGAACACAAAGTGCTCTTCATTCTTCACAGCAGACTTGGGAGTGCACACATTCTCTTTGTCCTTTAATTTATTTGCCAATGCTCTGCATACTACTGGAGTTGGTGATTTAGACACCACATCATTTGATTCTGCCCAATGCTTGGTAACCTGGAGGAGAAAAAAGGTACTAAATAAAGCACACTAAGAAAGAAAAGTCAATTTCTTTTTTCTTTTTCTTCTTCTACTTCTTTTTTGTTGGTGTTTGTTTGTTTTGTTTGTTTGTTTTTTTCCCCAGACAGGGTTTCTCTGTATTGCTTTGGAGCCTGTCTTGGAACTTGCTCTGTAGACCAGACTGGCTTCGAACTCACAGAGATCCACCTGCCTCTGAAAAGTCAATTGCTTTACAATATACTTTAATAATCAGCAAATTACCTTGTAGTGTTCTTATTAAAATTAAATGCTACCAAGATGACACCCCTGGCAAGAGCAGAACACTTGGCAATGTCTTCAGTTCTCCTTAGCACAGGCAGATCAGCATTTCAAAATGGGTGTCTAAACACACTTAGGATCCCAGCTGCTGCAAACAACCACACTCAGCCACCAAGTAATGGTTGTTATGCCCACATTGTCACTGTTTGACTCTAATAGGTACCAAAAAATAAGGTTTTTCAGTGATGGGGGGGATGGCTGGCTCAGTTAGAAAAGTGGCTGCACTCTGATTCTGACACCCATGTAAAAGCTGGGCATGTATCTGTAACCCTTGCTCTAGGGTAAGGAAAGAGGCAGATCCC